GTCTCTTCGGTACCCGTACTCACTTCACAAAGCACGTTAGGTGCAAGAGATAGTTGGATTGCACTCAATGCATCCCCTTCAATCTTCTCCTTGTCGAGAGTTGATATATCCTTAGGATACTTTCCGTCAATAGCATGGATGGAACCTTACCTCCGCAGTAACGCCATCATCTGGATCTTCCAGATATTGAAGTTGTTGCGTCCACTGAATCTATCAATTTCAAACTTCATGGAACTCATCTTTGCTTGTTCTTCCTCCTTGGATCGTTAAAGAATCATGTTGCTCTGATACCAATTGTTAGCGGAAACGTAAAAGAAAGAACACAAGATTTAACGTGGTTCGGATCAAAATAATCCTACGTCCACCAGAGAACAATTGTCTTTTTAATATTAACAAATGAAGGGGAGAGTTCCCAATTACACTTAAGAGAATTTCTCTCTTAACTCTCTACTCACTACAATGTGTTGTATTATTTTTGGGATGGCTTCTACAAATGAAGGAGTGCATCTATTTATAGAGGTAAAGACCTCCTCTTGATGTCATTGGTAACATCAAACTACCTCCTCTTGATGTCATGGGTGACATCAAAGAAGGAAGCTTCCTCCTAGCATCCACACCAACTCTTTCCACCAACTCTTCCAATTGGCATGTCATTGTTGACTAAACATAAACCAACATCTTCAATCCCCATACAGCATGGCCGGTCTAACCACCGCTCTATAGAACTTGCCTTTGAGTTTCGGTGGCACTTCCTTGTCACACAGGACTCCAGATGCTAACCTCTATTTCATCCACCCCACTCCTATACGGTGCGTGACATCCTTGTCTTTCTCCCCATCCCTCTAAATAATTGACCCAAAGTACTTGAAACTCCCTCCCTTGGGGATGACTTGTGAGTCAAGCCTCACATCCATGTCCGCTTCCCCCGACGCATCGCTAAACTTACACTCCAGATATTCTGTCTTAGTCCTACTCAACTTGAAACTTTTAGACTCAAGGGTCTGTCTCCAAACCTCCAGCCCCTCATTAACGCAGCCTCGTGTCTCATCAATCAGAACTATATCATCAGCGAACAACATACACCATGGCACCTCCTCTTGAATATGGTGTGTTAGTGCATCCATCGCAGGGCAAATAAGAACGGGCTGAGCGTAGTCCCTTGGTATATTTGCAGAAATGAATAAAGATTTTTCAGATGGCTTGCATATCAGCAGCCATTGACAATGGGAATTCCACAACACACATAATAGTTCCCTAATTGCACACAAATTGCTTTACATTGCAAGGTGATCTGGATATTATTAAATCACCTTCATCTATATTACCTTCCAAAGTTATTCGCTAAGGTGCAATTAACAATTAACATATTTCACACATACATACTAAAAGAGAATACACATGGGTTCATACAGCTGCAAACTGAGATGAAATATCACAAGGAGGACAAAAGACCATCCTAGACATTGTCTCCATTGCTGCAGCTTCTTTATTGGTGCATCTTGTTAAATTTTCAAGGGAATTTATGGTGCGCAATGGTCTCCTAGGACTAAATTACACCATCATTCAAGAGGTTAAATATAAACAGAGCATAAAAGACATTAGAAACATGAATCCATATTTCTTCCTTCATCTGTAGCCAAAAGAGTGTACCTGCATTCTCCATAATGCTCCATGTTGTGAATAGTCAATACAATTCTCGGTTTCTGCACAGAATGTGAATGCTTAAAACTACCGAACTATAGATCTGCTCCAGATCAATTAAGAGAATGAAAAACGGAAGCCCCTAGATCACACCTGGAGTGAGAGAAATTGGTACATATCCCAGTAAAACAGAGGTAAAGCACCTGTCTGCCATTCATGTACATGAATGACATCAGGTTGTGTTCCTGTTACCTGTTGACCAGTAAAATCAGTCACGACCTTGTTTGTATACACATCAACTCAAAACACTGGAGCAGCTTTGAAACATTCGGACATCAAGAACCTACTGAATTGAGGCTCCAATTAATCAACTAATTTTAAGACTAAAGTTGATTGAGGCAGCAAACCATATTGGCATGCCACCGTCACATAAAAATTCCCATGGCTGTCCAAAGATGTGCATAAGTGTATATAACTAGCATGCGATAAGATGTAGCTCAATAACTGATGGTAAAACACATTAACCCAAAAATATTTCCAACAGATCAGATGTAGCTCAATAACTCGTGGAATTAAAACATTAACCCAAAAAAGTTTCAATAGAATTGTCAAATTGGAGTAAGTTTTAATCTTTTTATACATGTACTATGAAGCAATTTAAAACTTATGGGCTGTAATACCTGCATCAATTCCAGGCAAGCACGGCTGAAAAACAAATATGCCTCTAACTCATTGTATGACCCTCCATATATGTTTGTTCCCTTGAAAAAGTGGTTGGAAGGTTCAATAAGTATCACAGAAACGCCTGAAACTTCTCCTCGATATGCATTACAGGCTACCCAGTTTCCGTCAAGATATGAGTTGTAAGTTTTGATCAAGGCTAGCTCATCAATTAAATGCTTAGGAATACATTCATAGAAAGGAAGTATGACATCAACTTTATGGCCACGCTTTAAACATGCACGTCCAAGTCCCGTTACAACGTCACCTAGACCCCCTACTTTTGCTATAGGTGCCATTTCAGCTGTCACGTGAACAATGTGCAATAGATCAGCATCCTTTTCCACTCCAGCGGGATCATCGGAGCTGAGGTCCCAAAATGGAAACTCCCTTTTCCAGAATGAAATTTCATCATTTGGAGAAGGCCACCGAAAACCCTCAGACTCGCGATCAGCTTCTGAACCTTCTAGTTGGTCAGCTTCCAACTGTGAGAAAACAAATTGAAATCAGTTGGAAAAATGAAAAAAATAGTTGATGGCACATTTCTTAACCCAAAAAAAAAAAAAAATCCTCTTTTTTCCCTTTCAAGATTCCCCTTTTTTATGACTGGTGTCGGGTCCAACTTGCATACACCTAGACTATTCCACCGGTTACCTTCTACTGCCCACCAGCACATATACCAGCTAACTCTGCCCACAAATGGAAAGAAACGGCCTTTTTCAAGACTTTTTAACAGAAGGTATTCTAAGTCCTACTACATGTTTTAATTCAACCATTTCCACCTTCCTATACATAAATTTCTACTGATTATTATCAATAACAACACTTTTCTAGGGAATTTGGTGCTAAAATATATATAAAGAAAGAAGAAGAAAAAAAGGTCTGGCATAAAACAAGAAAAGATGGCGGAATTTACTTCACCTGAGCATCAATTCGAGGAAAAAGATGAATTTTGAAATTTCGCGAATGGGAGTTCAAGTAGGATTGTTGCTTCAACAAATTGGCCTTACTGCTGATATTGTAGCATGAACGGTAATTGATACTACTGCTACAGTTTCCATTAGGGATAAAAGATGATGGGAAGGACAAGCAGGAAGTGAAATCCATGGCCATTATTGACATATCTTTGCGTTCAACATACACAAACACTAACAAAATGTGGAGTGCAACGAAAGTATGTAGCGTACACTGTAGATACCCAAGTCGATTTGCCCGGGGGTGGGGAGGGAGAGTGACAACTGACAAGTAAACAGTGAATCTTGGTGTTGTGTGTGTGTTTTGTGNCACCTTAATTTGACAACTTTCCACAATTGGACCAGACTGTTTGACACACAGACACAGTTTCCTTTTTTGTATGTTCCCCAAGAATATCATATTTTTTCTTTCTAAAATATATTTAGCCATAGTGGGCTTAAAATTTCATTTTTTCAAATGAAAATGTTATTATGTTTGGACATGAATATAACTGTAGGTTGTTTTTGAAATTTTGTGAGTGATCTGAGTGAAAATTTTGAAAAAAAAAACTTTTTAGAGTTTTTTAAATTTTCAAAAAATTCTAAAATTCATCTTCAAGTGAAATTTAGAAATTTTATGGCCAAACGCTTATTTCGAAAACAGTGAAATTTTTCGGAAAAAAATGAAAAAATCCGTATGTCCAAACGGGCTCAATATTCTTATTTTATGTACGGTCAGAACTCTCTAATAACATCATCCCTATATAATAGTCATTCACTATAAAAGTAAGTTTTTCTCTGAAGCAATTTTATCTTATGTTATATTACATGTCTTTTATTACAACACTTCTTTATAGCAACCAAAAAATATCGGAACAAACAACACTCTTATTAATAGGTTTGACTGTATTAATATGACTAGTTAAATAGAAGTTCATCCGTATAGAGAATGAAAAGACGCGCCAAACTCTCAAAGGCCAACGCCACTCACTTAAAAGGATATTTTTTATACTTTTCATATATGTAGCTTATATGTTACTTTATAGGTACATAGATCGGGTTAGTTCGGATTTTCTAATTACCAAACCAAACTAATTATATCATGTTATTAAATTTAAAGACCAAACCAAATTAATAAAAGTTAGATTTTTTAATCTCGATTTTCCTCGGGTTTTTTCGGTTTTTTTTTTTATAAAGTCTTCATATCACAAAACGTAGAATTTGTGCTTCAAATATTTCTTTAATCCTAGTAACAGAACTATATAAGGTGTTTTTCAATAAAATAACATAAATATGAGATGAGTCAAGACATTGTACTAAAATATTTAACATAAAGATAATAAAATCGTATAGAATAAATGTTATTAATAAGTCATAATGAAAACAAACATAATTTAAAATTACTAATAAGTTGCTAAAATAAGTACGACTAATAAGTATTATTTACATGACTAAACACTAAAAGAGAAATAAGTTATGCATTTTATATAAACCATGAAAAAATTAAAAAATAGATATCCAACACTTTGATTATATTTTATTAGCATTAGTATTGATTTGATTTTGATTTGGGATTTATGTGAGTTACTAACATTTATGGACTATAGAACTTATTGGAGCATCCAAATATTATAAGTCCAAGGTTGAAATAATACGTTAAAAATAAAACTATGAAAAAACTTAAGAAATATTTATAAACTACACTACAATAAATATTTTTGTGTATTAAATATATTTAAAACTTCTATACATATAATGTCGGGTTGGTTTGGTTTCAGTTTGGTTTTTTTTAGTTAAAACCAAAGCAAATCAAATATGGTCGGATTTTTTTTTCTAACACCAAACCATAGTCAAATTTTTTTTATTGGCTTAACTTGGATTATCGGATTGGTGCAATTTATTAGTTTTATTTGTACACCCCTACTTTTCATATATGTAGCTTACATGTCAAAAGAGGCTTTCGTTATTTTTTTAAACTATTTGACGAGTCAAATGTAAAAAGGGACGGGGGAATAGTGTTATCTTGATACTTATTGATTAAATTTACTAAATGTTTTCTACAAGTTATGCTTGGTTTGTTGAAAAGTAACTGTTAAGATTTTACTGTACTTGTTATTTTGCTCATTAATCTTAGATTATTTTGTTAATATCACTTTATTAAGAATAAAAATTAACTTACATTTTAATTTGAAAGTTTAAATTTGATAATTATCATTATCGTATAATTTACTCCTTCAATTTACATCCAAATAAATTTGAATAATTAGCTTTCTCTTTCTCCAAATATTGAAGCAAATGCAACATTTACTATTTCCATGCCATGACTTGAGCCAATGATCCTACGCGTGTGCTAACTAATCATACATTCCTTGTGTTTTTCACATATATTTTTTTATGGAAAAATGACACTTTATAGCCACTGCATTAGAAAAAATATATAAATTTTTGATATTTTTTGTATATATATACATTAAGTATGCTGTATACTTTTTCGGCTACCGAATGTAAATAATTTCTGGCGTGGGCTAAAAGTGATAATACTCCGATTTTTATCACTCATGTCATTTTCTAATGACATCACTTCGGACGCTATCGGATCATTACCTTTCACCGGTATAGGTATCAAGTCTTTTCAATCAAAAGTTTAGAATCTCTATTTATATCTCCAGCAACCGCCTTTGGAGGGGTGGGGGGGGTTAACATACGAAGGTGACCTACAACTTGGTATTGAAGAAATTCTCCAAGTTTTGTGTTTTAAAAATAGCACTTTTTGTCTTAGGACAATGTCAAAGAGTTTACCGTATACAATTTGGTTATTGAAAGAAAGAAATGTCAAAAGGCATGAAACACTGCTTTTCCGTCCAAAATATACTATAATCACTGAAGATTCAGCAAAAAGGTTGAATGCAATCACAATAACGGAAGTCAAATAAGGATGTTTGGTAATAGTATCCCACCACACACGTCTTCCTTATGGTCAACTTGTCTTCATCTTTCCTCATATCTGTTATAGTTAGAAGAAAAGAAAAAGAAAGATATGACCCTACTGCTTTTGAAGCAAATATATTGCTGATGTCCACACATTTTCTGCACAAATAAAACAAGCATCAGAAGTACAAAAGGGTAGGGGGTGTGGGGTGGATCAGCATGTAACATCTTCAGCACCTGATAAAATTTGATCAAAGTAAAATAAAAAGGTAGGATCTAAATACAGCCACAAAAGGACATGTATAATTACACATACTTCTATTATCACTAATCAGAATCTTCAATCCAAGGAGAAAAGGAAAACAAAAAGAAGATACAACAAACAGACAGTTTTTATCATAACTTTCTCCCTTTTTTCTATCTGAATGACGAAATTATGCCTCGTAGATACAAATGGCAAACTTTGGTATCAGTTTTGTTTTGCCTTCCCAAATTCTTTACTCTTGCTCTTACTGCCTACTGTTTCCTTTTTCCATATCAATCTGTAGTCATAGGTTGACTGATGCAGCACCTGAAACGGGCCTTTCTTACCGTTGTCAAGATCTCTGTCTCTGCAACCTCGAGCATTCTGACCACCTGAGAGAAGGGTGGTCTATTGTCAGGGTTAGGATCCCAGCAGCGCGTCATGATTTCACCTAGGACAGGCAAACAATCATTAGGGATGGTTGGACGGACACCTTTATTGACAACTGCAAAAGCTGCCTGTACAGCGGTCATGTTCTGGAAGGGAAGCATCCCCGTTATGAGCTCCCAGAGAACAATGCCGAAACTATAAACATCAACTTTTTGTGTGTATGGTCGGTGCTGGATCATCTCCCTGCAAAACAAGCAAAATGCACTTAACTATCTTTCTAGCTCTTTTCATAAAGGATTGCTCATCTAACTCAAGGTGTACATCCTAACTGCCATATCAACTAAGAAACAAAGTAATAAGCTATCATAAGTAGTACCTTATCTTTTTTACCTTTTTTACTAAAGGCTAGCATAAGTAATATCTTAAAAGATAAAAGAAAACCACGATAAGTTCTGATGTCTTCTGATTTGTTAAAATTGTAGCAACATATTAATCAAGTTTCCAATAGAAAAGGCACCCGCGTAGTAGTGACGCGATAAACAACCAATCAAACAGCTAAGCTCAGCCTCATACAAGGTTGGGTCAGCTATATGAGTCGTGTGCAAACACTACAATCTATTCAGGCCCAAATTGAAGTGAACGTGTTGTTTTTGACATTAAATCTTTGCCATAGTTATCAAATAAAACATAGGTGTTAATGATTATCTTGTTCTTATGTCTTAATTACTACATGATTATAAAGTTTATCTGACAACTACTAACAGCTGTTAAGTATGCAATGCATTTATTGAAACTTGGCACTACGGTGTACAGAAGTGTAATACATTCTTCTTGACAGACAAATGTAGAATATTCTTAGGTGTGTGAATCTGCATCTTCTATACTCTGGTGTGCTTTTTATGAGAATGTACATATGTGCTATGTCAGCCTATCTAAATCCTTTAGAAGATTTGACGCATGCACTTTTCTTTTCCTATTCGAGGAGATAAAATCTTATTTCCTCCAAGAGAGATCTAAAAAGCTGAAAATTTCAAGGGAAAAAAGATCTGCAAAACTCTTTACATATTTATTCTCAGCTAATGGAGGCTGAGTGGAACTCGTTCAACTTTTTGCATAAAATAATTGACCTTAGCCTAAAAAGAATTCTCCATGCAGAAGACAGCACCACTTTTTGGCAGCCACAAGCCCACAACCATAGACAAGAATGATTTTTTTTTGGCTACGAGGTCTCCACTGCTGATTTTTGGAGATGAAAAGCCGACGTGGTTATCAGCATTCCGACATTTCATGTAATAAGAAGCAGGAGCAACTAACGAAGGACTCTCGGCAGGATGGAACAAATGGTGGCAGGAGATACATACAAAAATGGATAGAAGAAGATGACAACCCCTTGGAAGTAGGAGGACCTGATATTTGCAGTTTTGCACATTAAAACATATTTGACTAGGCCTGCTAAGGAGACAGTATGGAGGAATGTGATCCTTGCAAGATATGGATGTTGTAAGCAATGATGGTTATCATATAAGGTGTTCACAACATATGGGTTAAGTGAGAGGATGGGATTACGGGATTTGGAGGTCCCAAGATTTATTGGCTTCGCAATTGGAAATGGTAAATGAATTTTTTTGGCTTGATGTATTGCAGTAGCTTGACTCTCAAGGAGGATTCCCCAACTTATTCTCTACCACAGTTGATAAGAACTCCACAGTAGCTGAATTTATCAAAAGAGAGGCAGACCAGGTGTCCCAGGATGTACCTTTTGGGAGACCAATCCAGTAGTGAATTGGAATAACATTGACGGTATCCTACAGAAGTTATATAGTCATGCATAGTCTGGAATGAGGACAAAATTATGGAGCAAACAACAAATATATTTCTCAATGAATCATGATATAGATGCCTGCTTCGGGTGTTGAGGCAAGGCCAAGACAGAAATAGTACAGAAGTTTAATGCACCTAAGAAGGTGTAATTCTTTACATAGTGTGCCGTGTGAGATGCCATCCTAACAGCGGATGATTCAAGGAGACATTTCGTGGTAAGTTGGTACTGCAGGTGTAAGAGGCATGGATGGATGGCTCCCAAAGAGTGGGATAGTGGTCAATGAAGTGGGGGCGGCCTAGTGGTCAATGAAGTGGGTGTGACTTAGTGGTCAATGAAATGGAAGGAGAACATGAGGTCTCAGGTTTAACTTTTGGTTTAAAGAATTTATTAAGTCAAACCATGCATTAAAAGATTATTTCTATTAGAAGAATAACTATGCTCAATCCAAAGCTATATGAATACTCAATAGATAATTTCAATTAATTCTATCATTTACACCATGAACTGTAAAGTCCATTTGAAATCATTTAGGTATTCGAGGATGTGCAGTATAGTTTAAGACGAGTAGCAAAGATATCTACTAGGAAATGAATTCATGTAGAGACAGTTGAACTCTTCGCCCATAAGGTAAAAACCTAATTTGGCAGAATTCATTCATTTATGATGGGAAGGTTAACATCCAGTCTGTGTAAGAATTTTCCTCATGCATTACCAAGAACAAAAGATAATTAATCAATGTGTCTCCCAAGAAAAGGCTAGGATGATATGAGTCATCTATCACATTAAAGAGTCACTCATAGGCCAAATGGAGCTATATTTAGAAGCTATCATCAATCACGATAAAACTATTTTATACACATGGCCAGATCTACAAAATGAATACCCAAAACATTTGATTTCCACACCTAATTGTACAAACTAAAAATAGGTCCATCTAGTCCAGGTAAATTTCAAGCTGGCCACCTATAACCAAACAGCGTTGCACCTACTTTTGCTCATTCAGGAGCTTCCCACAAGCATTGGAAGTCCTTGTCAAAATCGTGTCAGAAAGAATGTCCCAAAAAGATCTACAAGGAATTACAGACTCTACTTCTGTCTTCCATGTTAACTTAACCTTCCATAAGAAGCATCAAAACCAGACATATCCATACGACTCAAACTAAAAAAAAAAAATCAATCTACTCTTCAGTAGCCATATTTCAGGACACAGTTTCAAAGCAAAAGACAGTGAATGCTATGATCACACAAGTTGTATTTTCGACAATCTACTCATTCTTACTTTTATTGTTTGAAATAAGGAATAAGAAGAAACTAATCTTGGAGCAAATTCTGTCAAATTTTAAGTTAAGAATAAGAGATGATATTAAAAAAAGCTAAACTACAGCCTACAACTACCAAACAGAAATGGTTAATATTTCTCAGCTCGATTACTGTTCCATGGAACTTGCACCATGAACAATTTATTATTATCAGAGTGTTGATTAGACGAAAGAAAATACACCAAAGAACGGCATTGGAGGGAAAAAGAACAGGAGAGACCAATGTATGGTGAAGACAACAAATATATAATTAACTTTGAACCCTTCCAAAGTTTAAAACAAAGGTGACAGACGACCTTCTGTATGTTGTTCTAAATAGAGCTTTCCTTAAAAACACATGAGTCCGAACTATGTTTCATCTCTCTCGGACATATCCCGAAAACTAATTCTATGAGCTAGAGTGAAGTGAATCAAACTAAACTCCGCAAACAAAGGAGAGCAAGGAAAAAGGTTGGAAATCATTTGAAATAAAACAAGAATACTAAGTTGATCATCTTTTTGACATTTCTAGCAAGAGGCACAAATAACTAAGTTGAAAGGTTGAACAGAAGAAACAACTTCTCTCTCTTAGCAATAACAGGCATACAATAGGAACATTAGCACAAGTGATCTGGTTGTTTCCAAAGGATATTCAGGTCCTTAAACCCAGCATCTCCTTTCTTTTCACTTCAAATCTACTTTGTGAAAGGCAATGCAAGGTGCTTTTATTTAGATCATCAGATAGAAGATATAATGCAAAGTGAATGTTCAGACAAATATCACGTTGGAACATAAGCATATCTTATTGCGACCATTTCCCTGTTCTCTTTGATAAGTTAAAGCACTTGTGTTGCAAACACAGTTACACGTGTATGCAAAACATATGAATGTCCTACTAAAAACTGAAGGCCACAAAAGTAACGTATGAAACAGCCAAAGTAGCTCTGTATTAAGGTTCTGCCAAAAGACCAGAGTAGAATAATGGAATTACATTTAACGAGGCTGCTAAAAAGTTAGAGACTTACGGAGCCATCCAGCGGTATGTTCCAGTCTCTGGTGTCATTCCTTCAGTCTGCACCTCAATACGAGCAACCCCAAAGTCCGCAATCTTGATTGATTTATCAGCAGCAATCAGTAGGTTGTCAGATTTCAGGTCACGATGTATCAGATTCAGGCCATGCACATATTCCATACCCCTTGCCACATCCAAGGCCTGCTTTACTGCTAACTTCAAGGGCACAGATCGATTTTGTCGCTTAGTGAGAAACTGACGAACTGATCCTCCTTTTGCATATTCAGTGACAATACACCACACCATGGGTTTACGGCACGCACCGATAAACCGAACTATGTTTGGATGTTTCAACCTTGCCAACATCATGACTTCCTGCTGAAACTGTTGCTCCATCAAGTGAGCCCTCTCAAGATCATTCTCTGGCCTCTCTAAAAGCTTGATCGCAACATCCTCACCATTGTAAGTTCCCTTATAGAGCTTCCCAAAAGCCCCTTGTGCAAAAGCTGGTCCCATGTTAAGCTTCCTCAAATCAATTGTCCACTCATCATAATTCTCAAGCCCATTGGTAGGAAATCGAGGATCCATCAAAGCTTTAGCTAAGGCATCGTCACTCAATCCATGAGAAACTTTCCCCTTGTTTACACTAGCTGCAACAGAATAGTTATTGTGGACACGCTTGAGACCCTGGTGGTTTAGAATACGAGTGTGTGAATCATTTGATCCAACACTGCTGTTATCCATCGACATTGCAACAGAACCTCCACCATTGCTCATCCGCAAGCTCCCATAACTGTCGATTGACATGTTTGATCCCTCACCAAGCTTATGGTAAAAATTTTGTGACAGTCCATAATGTTCATGGTTTTCATTTAAGTCTATAAGTCCCGCAAACTTTGGAGCTTCCAACATTTTCCCGTCAAAGCAGCTGCAGCAAAAATGCTATAGGTTCTTCTGCATGAGTAATTCAAACTTTAACTTCGCAACCCTGTGTAAAGAACATGAAAAATCAGAACTTGTTTTAAGAAAATTCTTCTCTCCCAGCTTCATGCATCAAAATGCAATAAGAAAGATGGACAGAGTAACTAAACAAAGATTAGTTTCAAAATCAACACAAATAACAGAAGCTTGATGAAAACCAAGTGCGCAAAAAGAAATCCATCTTCACTCTTTACTAACAGGTAAAATATTATGTAAAGAAAAAGGTCCTCAACTCTCTGTTCATTCAATGCCTTCAAATCAGCTAAATGACTTGGTAATTAAGACAACAATTCAATTACTACCTCGTACCTCCTGTCCTTTTTATCAGTCATTTAAGATTTTGGGAAAACTATTCATTATTCAATAGCATTAGTTCTAAGGGGTATTGACTGAATTACCATTATCTCTTCCTTATATGAGTAATTAATGACTGTATGCTTTCTTGGAATAATAGGGGTAAAATTGGGGGG